TTGACACTCTCAACAACGTCCAATGGGTCTATAGCAGCATTAATTCCAACTAAAAAATGTATAATTTATATTTTATATATATAGTATTTATATAATTTTTAATACCAAAATATGTTGAAAAACATAATAGGATTAAATACGTGTGCATATTGAATAAAATTCACTGTCAACTGAACGTTTAGAAAATTGTTTCGCTTAAATATTATTCAAAGTAACCACTTTATTCAAATTAGTTTTGTTATAGATTATTTTTAATTAGTTTTAGAGATAATTTTAAAAATATACCTCAAATTAATTACTTTAACACAGATAAAAATTAACATAATAATTAAATTTTATAAATAAAAATAATATAATAATTTGTAATTTGGATTTGTATTATAATCCAATTCTAGTTCTAATTTGACAGGCATGAGTTCTAGGCGTGGCACTTGCAGTCCAAACAAATTATATATGGACTATAAACTAATTAAAACATAAGTATAAGACCACTGATGATGAGTACTTGGCAATACTAGAAACAGCGTTGTATAGTCAGCCAAATTTCAATGAATTAACTAAATTTTTGTTGTTGTCTTTTCATTTCTATTTTATTCTATTTAAAAGTTAGAACTTTTAATTAGTTTCTTTTCGCCATGAGACGCGTCACTCTCGGCAAGAAAATATTAACATTAAAAAATTTAATTATGTTTTATTTTGAATAATAATATTAATTCACAAATGAAATACAAATTGTGTTTCACTTTTAAGAAAAATATAATATTAGTCTTCTTAAGTAGATAGACAAACATTGGTCTAGCATCTGAACTAAGGAATTGGATTAGAAGTCGTGCTTAACAAATGATCAGCTACTCATAGCAAAGCAAAACATGGCTTAAATTATAAAATATATATATTAAATAAATATATTAAAAAATATAAAAATCTGTTTATGCATTTTACTGTATTTTTTTTATTATATACACATGTAAACACTTATTTAATACAATTAAATTTTTATATTAATTAAAAAATTATTAAACAATAGTTTAATAATATTTTATTTTATTTTTAATAGTTTTATTACTATTGTTTATAGTAGTAAACAACTAACAACATTTCCTGAATGCATAGCAAACAAAAATGAAGAAAACTGAGAAAAGGGAAAAGGTGTATGGAAGCCCATAGAAAAGGAAGGCATATGTAGTCAACTACGAAACTTTTACCCGGGGCCTACGCAGAACATTTAAATGCTCACTCATTTAGCGCACTTTACAAAATGGTATTTTAATAAATAATCATTAAATACAGAAGTTGAATAAGTAAAATATATTTCTCTACGGTTAGCATCAATGTATAAAAATAAAATAAATTACTCTTATAACACCCCTAGCAGCCGTGAGTTATCCGACCTAACAACGACGCAATTAAATTCCTTACAACTGTACGAATTAATGAATATAGGTTGTAATGAGTGTCAACATCCGCATCCGCAAATGAATATCATCTTCACATATTATAATAAGTCATCTTCATTGACATTTATATCTTACTTTTAGTCTACATCTTCACCTGCAAACACATCATATTATATTATAATATATGTGGATCTCTTTTGTTTCCTTATAGAATGAAACCATCCGTTCAAGACATCATTTTGTATATAATGTGACACAGCAGACACACTAAGTCTGCAAATCATAATAGCTTGTTGCCTCTTCTTCTGCTGTACTCATCCATCAGTACCGTTGGTTCTACCTTGCTTTTAAAATTAAGAAACTGAAAAGCAAAAGTGTTTTAAACCATTAATAACATTACATGGTGAGAATTAATTAAGTTATTTTTATTATAAGTGATTGAATCTTATTATATTTACTCATGTCTGATTACTTCAACTTTCTAATCATCGATGTTTTTATTGTTAAATTATTGAACACATTATAAATTCACACGCCACCAAAATAGGAAGCCATCAGATGAAGAAAATAACTACTGAAATATCAAGTTATTTCTTTCGACCGATAAAATAATTTTTATTATTAAACTCCATTTTTTTATCATCTTCTTATTTCTAATGCCATATCCACATCCTCTACCACAGCTTTTAAAATTTCAAAATAAATGATCGACTTCTACTTCCTCATATAATATTAAAACTTTAAAAAATTAAAGAGTAAATAAGTAAAGTAAATCGATACGAATAATCTTCAATGAATCATATTTATATGAGATACATCTCGCCATAAAACAAATTTTTTAAGAAGACTTTATCCAAAAAAAAATATATTCTTATCGAGTATATCGAGCCTTTACGAGTATATCTCAATCATTTAATATACATATATGATAAATTTTATATATGGAATTAACTTTATATAATTCTACGAGAATGAAACTTTGTCTCATATGGCTTACAAATTGTATAGTTGACCTAATTATATATAAATGTACCTTAAATATGCTATTATTATTCTCTTTAACTAACAAATATTTAGATAAATTCAATATACCGTTATCAACCAAGTATATTTTTATTGACAATAAAACGCAAACTATTATATATATACCTCGATAGAAAAAAACTTTATTGATATAAAAATGTGGTAAAGAATATTTATGGATATTTATATTATTGGCTAAATACCAATGTTTCTTTAAACCTATATCATATTAAACGAAAAGTGCTAGCTTTGAAGCATCTTTAATATCAAAATAGAAAATTCCTGGTAATTTATTCACAATCAAAGGATCTCCAACTTGTATATCGACTTCTTTATTGCAACCGGTTTCTTCCATAATTTCTTCAAATGAGCTACACTGATAGATGGGTGCATATGAATAACCTCTCACTCCAGCAGCATAAATCAGAATAGATGTTTGGTGAGAACAAAAATCAGCAAATTTATCAACGTCACAATTTATTTGTCGACGACCCCAATTTGGATAAAAAGAGGTATGACCAATTGGCATTGCAATGCCGTTCCTTCCACTCGAAGTGTGTATCGTTACAACATAATTTGCATCGGTTATTGACAAGCGTTGTGAAGGATCGTTAATATTAATAAAACCCAGTGCTGCATCAAGACCAACAATTGATTCAATTTTGCCTAATTTAACTTGTTTTCCTGCAAAACCAGCAACATGTGCTCCCAAACTATGTCCAATTACAACCAATTCGTTAAAATTTAATCCATAATTGGAATGCAAAAAGTCAATTAATTTTCCGACTGCTGTACCTACTTCAGGATATACTTTCGATGCGACTGTTACGTATTCCGTAAAGGAATACTTGCTCCAATCAACAGCAATCACATTATAGTCTCCTGTCGCTAAATATGCTTCTCTTATAGGACGATTTGGTACTTGCTCATAGGATGCAAGAAATCCATGAATAATAAATCTAGGGATTTAAAGGAATATTTCATTCAAAATATGCAATATATATGGTAATAATTATCAAATATTGTAATTTGTGTATTGTAATTTGTAAACATTGAAAAATTTTAAAATAGTACTCACTTGGTCTTACGTGAACTATCGTAATTGGACACTGCTACAGAATTGTCTTTATAACTGATTATTTGTGGATCTTCCGGATTTTGATTAGTGTAGAGGTAGAACTTAACACTATTAAGAACGTCCAATGGGTTTATTACAGCATTATTCGCAACTGAAAAATCTGTGGTTGGATTGGGATCATAGAATAAGGTTTTTACTTAGTTACTGTAAATATTATTTATTCAATCTATATTACCAAAATACGCGAAAATTAATAGAATTATATATGTCTTCATGTTGAACGAAATAAAACTTTCTGATGAACTCTCAGAAAATGTTCGAACTTATATATTGTCGAAAGTAACTAGTTTATTTAAATAAGTTTTATGATAGATTACCTTTAATGACTTTTTTAGATAATTGTTCAGATATTTTAAGCTAATTACCTCAATTCAGAAATTGCTCTAAGTTCGTTATCATTTGTTATTATAGTTATTCGACAAGTACCTTAATTGATACTATATTGGCAGGTCATGCAGCCTATTCTATGTATTTGCCTTTTATTGATTGGCCTATCCTGTAATCTATATTGGTATTTTACAAGCTCATCTTCAAATTCTACAAAAACTACAATCTCTTGGCAATGCAGATGTAGAAGATAATTTTAACAAATTAAAAATTTAATCGAGTGAATATCATTGTTTTTAAATGATTTTTACTTATACGTAGGCTTCCTTGTGGTTCTTGGGCTTATAACATTAGGTATTGCCAGATGAATTTTGACATTTCTGTTCGAAATTTTGACATTCGCTAACATAAATGTCATTACAGCATTTCAGTTTACGCGAACTTGAGTTATTTACATCGATTCTAAATTGTGTCGAATTAAATACTGAACATTTTCATGCGATGATTTTTTATGATTTTCGACGCGAATTAACTAGAATATGATACATCGATTAACCTAGTTAAACATTTGGTGATGAAACACCACATCCAGCGAGTTTAAAAAGCTGATTCAATGAGTTAGAGCCTGGACTTTGTTTTATCCATTTCGTGAAAAGATGGATGCAGTGCGGGAAATAATTGAAAAATGAGAAATGAAAAAATACAGTCGAGGTAGTTCAAAAAACGTGTACGACATCTTATGTGTCCGAAACAAAACACTAGTACCTTGTTTGGTTCTTCCAAAGTGAGCAGAGCCCGACAAAAAATTGTCCACGGACGGAGTAAATTCAAGAAAATGGTCGCATATTTTTTCAGAAAAATCTCATGTCGGAAATGTACCACTTGAACAGTGAACGCACAATGAATAATCTAAGTAATACAGAGTTATTTTTTTGACGGAAGTCTTCAGAGTATTGAAAAAAACAACCCGTCGAAGATAGATCATCCCCCACTACGACTATGCGAGCTCCTACACATTAGCTCAAACAAAATTGTTATTGAGAATTCAAAACATCAAATTGATGGGTCATCCACCTCACAGTTCCTACTTTGCCTGTAATGACTTCTTCTTGTTCCCAAACATTAAGAAGTAAATGTGTGGCGAGCATTTTTCTTGAGACATTCAAAACTCTGATTTTGGAGATACCAACTTCAGAGTGGCAAAACAGTTTCGAAAATTGGTTTAATCGAATGCAAAAATATATTGATCATCATGGAGAATACTTCGAAAAACAATAAAACCATTTTCACTGATTAATCACTGTGTTTTCATTATAAGGCGCAAGACTAGAAAGTAGTCCCTCGATATTAATTAGTGGTTTTAAAAAAAAGGCAATCATTTAATTTCTTTTCATTTTAAATAATTTATTATATACAATAAGTTATTTTGTTTAGATCATCAATTTGGCTTTCGCCAAAAACATAGCACAATAGAACAAATTCATAGACTTGTCAGACATATCCATAGTGCGATAGATGGTAAAAAATATTGTACTGCTGCATTTATAGATATTTCACAAGCTTTTGATAGAGTATGGCATGAAGGCCTTCTTTTCAAACTAAAACTGAATCTACCCCTAAATTTTTTCATATTTATAAAATCATACCTCTCGGCAAGACACTTTTTCATTAAGCATGGAAACGAAACTACAGTACTTCATGATATAGAAGCAGGAGTACCTCAAGGTAGCATAATGGGACCAATGCTTTATCTTTTATATACTGCGGATCTTCCCCTTACCGATGAAAGTGTTATCGGTACATTTGCAGACGACACAGCTTTTTTATCAGTTGACAGTGACCCAATCCGTACTTCTACCAAACTTCAAACCTGCCTCAACAATGTTGCTCTCTGGATGAAAAACTGGCGTATCAAACCGAATGAATCAAAATCTGTCCAGGTAACATTTACTACAAAACGATCTACGTACCCGCCTGCTTTTATAAATAATACTGAATTACCACAAGCTTTATAAACAAAATACTTGGGCATACATCTGGATAGTAAGTTAACCTGGAAATCACACATATTCAAAAAGCGTAAGGCCCTGGGTCTTAAATTACGAAACTTATTTTGGTTCCTCAACCGAAACTCCAAACTGTCACTCGAAAATAAGCTGCTCATATACAAATCTGTACTAAAACCTTTATGGAGTTATGGCGCCCAATTATGGGGTACTGCAGCAGACTCAAACCTGGCAATTATTCAGCGTTTCCAATCTAAAACATTGCGGATGATCACAAATGCACCTTGGTATATAACGAATGAACAGCTACATAAACAACTACATGTCCGAACAATCAAGGAAGAAATAGCCAGTATTTTAAAGAATTACGCTCATCGCATATATATGCACCCAAACCCGCTGGTGACACACCTGATGTTCCCTTCCAACACTTTTACAAGGCTAAGAAGGAAAACATCTAGAGATATTTTAGATATGTATATGTAAATCACACACTGTTACTTTAAATATATATGGATATGTCACTGGGCATAGTCCATACGTGTCTTTCTTTTTCTAGATTGTAATAATTATTATTACGATTTATAATTATACATTATTACTTATTGTCATTCATACCTGACAGATTGTAATAAAATAAATGGATCTCAAAAACAAACAAAAAAAAAAAAATAACGCCTGTCATATCGTTAACGACTTTAGTGCAGTTTTTCTTTACCGGCGCTATATTGTCAACGACTCTGATTAATGTCACTATCTATAGGACAGAGTTATCCGGACGTGTAAGTTGCCTCTTTTACATAATTACCGCCATTGTACAAATTTTTCCTCTTTACTATTTAAAGAGAAACCACTGAACTTACTGCAGATTTCAGCAAAGTAACGAATGAAATCTTCCACAGCAATTGGTTTGATCAGGATAAAGACTATAAACAAACCCTAGTATTTTTCATGCAACGTTCACAACTCAAAATGGCAGGTCATGTAGCCTATTCTATGTATTTGCCTTTTATTGTTTGGCCTATCCTGTAATTTATATTGGTATTTTACAAGCTCATCTTCGGAGAAAGGATCTTAAACTATTGCACAAAAATATTATAACTTTATACAAACGGAGGGAACACGATTCTCTTGTTGCGAATACTAGGTCGAGTTCTCATGACATGTACCCACAGCTACAATATGACATTATGCATAATTTTTATTTTGAAAACACTCAGCACATATCGATCCTACTTTTTAAATGTAGAGGAGGTCTTTTTTATCTGAACGGTAATCGTCATGAAATAGAAAATATATGTCATATTATTGGTGTCTGTCCAAATTTCAGAGAACATAGACGTATTTTTTTTTTATAAAGCATTTCTGTCCGAAGAAGAAGTGAAAGCCTTGTTAAACGGTAGCAATATTTATAAACTATATAAATTTATGAAAAATGTTTTAAGTTGGAAGATTAGAAGAAGATTAATTATTGATAAATTTATATAAATAATAATGTTAATAATATGCACCATAGTGTTAATAATATGTGTGCCAATCTGATACACAACAAATATGTTATTGTCAATTTAGATTTTAAATAAAATTCTATGAATTTGGTAAGTGCTGTATGAATTTTTTGAATCACTAAATAATAATAATAATAATTCATTTTTTTATCTGAACTCATTCATATGGTACAAAATATTTAGTTTATGCATTTACATAGATAAATAATTATATACGAATTGCAAATCAACTGACTTTTCAGCAATCAGCAAAGCAATTAACTAATAAAAATAAAATACAGTAATTAAGTTAACTGTTGATAATATATGGGTAATAAGCTCTAAGTTACATTAAATATGTAACTATTCTGAATTTACTTGTATATATTTATATATATATTCATATATATATAAATTTAAATTTTCAAAATTAATTTATAAAAATAAAATTATTTTAATTAAATATTTAAATATAGAAATATATGGAATATAGAATATAAATATAGAAACGACTTTTATTTGCAACAATCTTAAAATAGGAATTTAAGTATTTAATGCTAATTATTTTTTTAACAGATTATTTGTCATATACGTATATTTAACATTTGTAAAGCATAATTAATTTAAATGGTGCAATATCAGAAACACAATGCTATAAATGCTTTCCAATTGAATTTATTAATACGCCAGTTTCAATTTAAAACTAATTTACTGCTTTTACCAACATTTAAATAGTATTCGTCCTTAGTACTAAAATAATATATTCCGTCAACCCTTTCTATATCCAAAGGATCACCAAGCCGAACATCAACCAATTTATTGCAACCTATCTTTTCTTTTATTTCTTCGAAATTATCACACTGATATATAGGTGCATACGATTTCCCTCGTATTGAATCGGAATAAACTACGTTCGCAGTGTCATGCGAACAAGCACCAAGTAAATCGATTCCGCAAGATGGGAGAGCACGTCCCCAATTTGGATAAAATGTCATATCTCCAATTGGTCTTAAGAAACCCTCGCGACCACCAGTAACTTGTAGAGTTAAAACAAATTTAGCGTCAGTCCTTGCTAAGTGAGTCGAATTTAGAGGATAAAAGTATAATGGTAATGCTGGATCGGATCCGACAATAGCACCAATTTTACCGCGTAATACGTTTTTACCACAATATCCAGCAATATGTGCACCCAAGCTATGACCTATCACAACTAATTCGTCGAAATTTAAAGCAAAGTTTTCATTTAGTAAGTCTACGAAATCAGCCACTATTTTTCCAACTTCGGGAACTCGTTTCACAGCTTGTGTATAAATCGAATATGCATAAAAACTCCAATCAACGCTTATTACGTTATAGTCACCTGTTGCTAAATAAGCATTTCTGACTGGAGGATTTGGTGTCCTTTCATAACTGGATCTCCAACCATGTATAATAATCCTGGAAAATGGAGAAAATTAATATAATTTAATTTTAAATAATTTATTTTTTAATACATTCATTACTTACTTGGTTCTATGTTCGGGATTGTAGTTGGATATATTTATTGAATTTAAATCATATATAGATAAAATCTGTGGATCTTTTGGATTCTCACGGGTGAAAAGGTAAAACTTTACTATATCAGTACCATTTCTTCGAGTAGACCCTTTTGTTGCTATTACTGAATGCGTTTAAATGACTTAAAATATTAAATTAAAATTATTTTTATCACATTTAGTACTTACATAACACTAAAAATATGCTGGAAAATATACGAACAATTAAGTGTTTACACATTGCGAATAAATTGTTAATGTGACATAAAAATTTGTTCTTTTGCCATTTATATACTGAAACTTCTAAGTAAAATTTCCAACACTTGTTTTATATAGTTTTATGCCCCCATGAATGAGTAAATAATTTATTCATTGAAAATAATTAAGTAATAATTTTTACAAAATTTACATAAATAATAACAAAACATACTGTACCATATACTCCTATGTACTTTAAATAGCATCTAACATAGGTATAATAAGCTACGTGTTCTATAAATATTTTTTTGTATCTAAATATATTAGTTGAGTTGTGAAAGTACTATCCGAATAATTTCCAATATCTGATGCTATCTATTATTAACCAATGAAACTTTCAAAATACTTGCATTTTTAGAATTTCACTCTACTGTTTGATGATCTTACAATGATTTCTTAATTATTTAAGAGTAATACTTTTAATGTTAACATAAATACATAAAATTAAAAGAAGTAATATCAATAGTACTTTGAGCAATTTAACCTTTCTGAAATCATAAAAATATATTTTATTTTAACTTTTCATTAAATCAGTTATTTTTTAAAACTTATTGTCTTAATCAAATTAGTGAGTGATAGCAGAGATTCGAACCTTTATGTTTAACCAAACTCATAACAAAGGCGGTAATCATATGTAAAATATTTTTTTACTATTACCCATCACTATTGAATAATATTCCGATTTCGTTCTGTTTCAACAACAATTACTAATAGTATCAGGTTTATAAAGCCGATCAAGCAATTTTATTAGGTATAAACGCCAGCGACCATTTCTTAACCATTGACATTTATTCACTAACTACTAGTCAACATAGTGTTAAACACAATCAACATCAGGTAAAAAAATAGCACCAAAAATTTTATTAAAATAATCGCTCTGAGTCCGTGAAGTATAATAATATCAACATCGTATCGTAGTGTCGGTCTTCACACTTAGTAGTAACAGAAAATGAATTTAAGTAGTCACCCATTTTGACAATTAAACTGCAATAAGCACTATAATAATTTTTAATTATTACTGTTAAAATGAAGATAACCAAAGATTTTTAACCAAAGGTTAGGAAAAATATACGATAGTATAAATATACTCATTTTACCGACGGTCGAAAGACGTGCTCAAAGTGTAGTGCACAACTTAACTTAAATGTATACAAAACAGTGGCAATAAATCGACAAAAAATTTATTAAAAATTCATCAATTTGAAACTGCAAGTATGTAGCGTCTATGATTAAATCGTATACACCGCTTAAGTGTGAAAATTATTTTCATACTTCATTGTTTGCAATAGGTTTC